CCTCCGCCCCCTCCTCCTCCCCCACCTCCTCCTCCTCCTCCCCCGCCACCTCCACCCTTACCTCCATCAACTTCACCGAAGCCATCTATTCATCCTAAAAAAAAGTTAACAGTTGCAGCTCCAGTGACTCTACCTAGTACAGCTGCACCTCCAGTTGATGCTGTTACTACTGTAGAGACCACTGCTATTCCTAGGAGTAACGGGTTACCTGTAACAAAAATATGTGCCACTGCACCTCCTCCCGTTCCTCCTAAGCCATCTTCAATTCCAACTGGACTCGTATTTACACATAGGCCTGAGCCAAGCAAACCTCCAATTGCCCCTAAACCAGCAGTTCCTCAGCTTCCGGTAACTACACAAAAACCAACAGATACACACCCCAAACCAATAGGTCTACCCCTAACTTCAAGTATGACCTTAAATTTAGTGACTTCAGCAGAATATAAATTGCCTTCCCCTACATCTCCCCTTTCTCCACATTCTAACAAGTCCTCACCAAGATTTTCCAAATCCCTCATGGAAACCTACGTAGTTATTACATTGCCATCTGAACCTGGGACTCCCACAGACTCTTCAGCTAGTCAAACAATTACCAGTTGGCCCCTGGGATCACCCCCCAAAGATCTGGTTTCCATTGAACCAGTGTTTTCTTTAGTTCCTCCTATTACAGCTGCAGAAATTTCAAGTTCTTCAGAACAGACCCTGCACATCTCAGGAGCATTGGAGACATTGTCTACTGCCCCCATTGCAACACTGTCTTCATTTCAAGCAATTCCAACCTCAGTTACACATTTTCTCACCAGCGAAGTTTCCAAGGCTGAGGTTTCAGCAGCCAGAAGTGCAGCCCCTAGTGTTGGTCTCGGCAGTGTTTCTATATCAATTCCTCCAGAGCCTCTTGCTCTAGATAACTTACATTTAGAGAAGCATCAATACAGGGAAAATGGTAAGGTGCAACTTGTTGGTGATGTCATTGATTTGCGTACAGTACCCAAAGTACAAGTTAAAGCAACTGAAAGATGTATGGATCTTTCTGCTTCCACAATGGATATGAAAAGGCAGACTACATCAAATGAAGCTTATGGGAGACAAATTAGTGCTGTTCAACCCTCTATTATAAATCTCAGCACAACTTCATCAGCAGTGCCTGCAATATCCCTGGACACTAAGACAGTGACCGTTGTCACGTGCACTGCTAGTGTAAGTTACACTACAAGCACAGAAAGTCTGTTGAGCAAAGAACATGCAATGACAACACCACTCCAGCTTACTACATCAAAGCATGCTGAGCCCCCATATAGGATGCCAAGTAGCCAGGCCTTCCATACAGTTAGAGAGGAAGCACCAATAAACTTATCTCTAGGTACTTCAGCTCATGCAGTGACACTAGCTGTTACAAAACCTGTCACCGTTCCACCTGTTGGTGTCACAAATGGATGGACAGATAGCACGACAACCCTGGGGATCACTGATGGGGAAGTAGTGGATCTCAGTACAACAAAGTCTCATAGAACTGTTATAACAATGGATGATTCGACTTCAGGTGTGGTGACCAAAATAATAGAAGATGATGAAAAACCTGTTGATTTGACTGCAGGAAGAAGAGCTGTGTGTTGTGATGTGGTTTATAAGTTACCTTTCGGGAGGAGCTGCACAGCACAGCAGCCTGCAACCACTCTTCCCGAGGATCGTTTTGGTTATAGGGATGACCACTACCAATATGATCGATCAGGGCCATATGGTTATAGAGGGATTGGAGGAATGAAACCTTCTATGTCTGATACTAATTTAGCAGAAGCTGGACACTTTTTCTATAAAAGTAAAAACGCTTTTGATTATTCTGGAGGAACTGATGCAGCAGTAGATCTAACTTCAGGGAGAATTACTGCAGGTCAGTATGATACAGCAGCAGACCTTTCCTTGAAATTTCATTATGGTGTTCCTCATCTCATTTCAGGATGAAAATGTGATCCCTTTTGCAATTTTGTTACATTTTCTCTTTCTTTGGATGTTTTGGCAACTTATTTTGGAATACGTGCGTGCTTTTATTTCTTCATTTTTTTCAAAAAAATATTTATTCTGCCTAAAGTCGCCTGCATGTGCCTGCATGTTCAACATTGCTTTTATTCTGCATTTAATTAGGTTAACCTGTGGATTTGCATGCAGTCCCATTCATTATGTTCATCGAGATGAGAGGGCTTTCAAACCCAAAAAAGCATCATTCATTCTGGGGACTGGACTATAACTGTACCCTGTATTTCAGGTGAGGTAATGGATTATTCAAGCAAGACTACAGGTCCATATCCAGAAACACGACAAGTCATTTCAGGAGTTGGGATTAGTACCCCGCAGTATTCCACAGCAAGAATGACTCCACCTCCAGGATCCCAGTATGGTGTGGGGAGTGTTTTGAGGTCATCTAATGGTGTTGTCTATTCATCAGTAGCAACTCCAGTACCTTCCACATTTGCTATCACCACACAGCCTGGCTCCATTTTCAGCACCACTGTGAGGGATTTGTCTGGGATTCATACAACTGATGCAGTGACTTCATTATCTGGCCTGCAGCAGAGTCAGCCAATGCCTAGATCATATTTCATAACAACAGGTGCATCTGAAACAGACATTGCAGTCACCAGTATTGACATCAATGCCAGTTTGCAAACTATTACAGTGGAAACTCTTACTGCTGAGACAATAGACTCTGTTCCCACTTTAACCACAGCATCTGAAGTATTTTCTGAAGTGGTGGGAGATGAAAGTGCTCTTTTAATTGTCCCCGAAGAAGATAAACAACAACAGCAGCTTGATTTGGAGCGTGAGCTCTTGGAACTGGAGAAAATTAAGCAGCAACGCTTTGCTGAGGAATTGGAGTGGGAACGTCAGGAAATTCAAAGATTCCGAGAACAAGAAAAGATCATGGTTCAAAAGAAGCTGGAGGAGCTGCAGTCTATGAAGCAGCACCTTCTCTATCAGCAAGAAGAAGAGCGGCAGGCCCAGTTCATGATGAGGCAGGAGACATTAGCTCAGCAGCAGTTACAGCTTGAGCAGATTCAACAGCTGCAACAACAACTTCACCAGCAGCTGGAGGAACAAAAGATTCGCCAGATCTACCAGTATAACTATGACCCCTCTGGAACTGCTTCTCCACAGACTACTACAGACCAAGCGATTTTGGAAGGTCAGTATGCTGCCCCAGAAGGCAGTCAGTTTTGGGCCTCTGAAGATGCAACCACCACAGCTTCAGCTGTTGTGGCAATTGAAATACCACAGAGCCAAGGATGGTACACAGTTCAGTCCGACGGTGTTACTCAATACATCGCCCCACCTGGCATCCTGAGCACTGTTTCAGAAATACCGCTGACAGATGTTGTTGTAAAGGAAGAAAAACAACCCAAAAAGAGAAGTTCTGGAGCTAAAGTTCGTGGACAGTATGATGAGATAGGGGAAAATATGGCAGATGATCCCCGATGTTTTAAAAAAATAGTGGACAGTGGTGTACAAACTGATGATGAAGATGCTGCAGACCGTAGTTATGCTAATAGGAGAAGGAGAACTAAAAAGAGTGTTGATACCAGTGTCCAAACTGATGATGAAGACCAAGATGAATGGGATATGCCTACCAGGTCAAGGAGAAAAACTCGTGTAGGAAAATATGGTGACAGCACAACAGAAGCTGACAAGACCAAAGCCCCTTCTAAAGTGTCCAGCATAGCAGTGCAAACAGTAGCAGAGATATCTGTGCAAACTGAGCCAGTCGGAACCATAAGAACACCTTCAATACGAGCACGAGTGGATGCCAAGGTAGAAATAATTAAACACATTTCAGCACCCGAAAAGACTTACAAAGGGGGCAGTTTAGGATGTCAAACAGAAACAGATTCAGACACACAAAGTCCTCAATACCTGAGTGCCACATCTCCATCCAAAGACAAGAAACGCCCAACACCTTTAGAGATTGGTTATTCATCTCACCTTCGGGCAGATTCCACACTACAGCTGGCTCCTTCCCCACCCAAATCTCCAAAAGTCCTTTATTCACCCATCTCACCACTTTCACCAGGCAAAGCCTTAGAATCAGCCTTTGTACCTTATGAAAAACCCCTCCCTGATGATATAAGTCCACAGAAAGTACTGCATCCAGATATGGCTAAAGTTCCCCCGGCAAGTCCTAAGACAGCCAAGATGATGCAGCGTTCTATGTCTGACCCCAAGCCTCTGAGTCCAACAGCAGACGAAAGTTCCAGGGCTCCTTATCAGTATACCGAGGGCTTCACGGTAAGAGTGATTCTTTTCAGTTAGAAGACAATGGATGAGTTGATGTTAATCTTGTGTTTGCAGACTTGAGGAGGTAATAAAACTCCTGGTATTTTATAAACCTAATGCTCAATTCAGTGAGTACTGTTGCATTAGAAAAATTGCAAAAAAAAAATAGAAAAGCATACAGTCACTGAAAATTACCAAGGAAAGAAAACATTTTGAGGCAAAATGAGAGAAGTTTATTCTTTTTAATTTCATGAGATCAAAAGTTTTGTTCTAATATCAGAATCTTTCAAAAGTCAGTTGTAGGGAACCAGCAGTTAGCGTAATGGCTACATCGCTGGACTCCCACGTAGTGGACCGCGGTTTGTGTCCGGGACCCTGTGGCTTAGAACTCACGTTGGGTGCGTGTGCGTGCATGCCCAAGATCCCGAGAGGAGAATGGAGGAGAACGGATTGTGGCGTGACCATCCCCCCGGGGGGTGATTTTTTGCTTTCTGTCTCTATGTCTCTCTCCGTCTGTCTGGCGAGCGCACGCACCCTATAGCGAATGAAAATCTCTCAAAAAAAAAAAAAGTCAATTGTAAAATGTGATTTAATAGAATACAATTCATATTCATTTTTAAACATGATGATAAACAGTGAATATAAGTGGATAAGGCAAAGAATGACCATACATTTAGATTATAGGTAACAGAATTCATTAATGGGAGGATCCTTAGAAATAGTCTGGTCGGTTTCCTCTTTCTTCAGCCAGAATCTTTTCATAAAAAGGCTTAGGACAAATACTGGTCAAAAGATAGCATTTCTCACACAGGCGGAGGATAGTGGAGTATAATCACCATAGTTCACCCATGCTTATCTTGTTTGTGGCAACTTTCTTCATCTAACTCAGGTAAACCATAATCCTAGTTCTTATAAAGACAAAAATAATTTGTATGATTCCTTGAATAAGAGAGATTAATTATTTAAAAATATGTAGATATGATTTGAGTGGAAAAGAATATAAACAAGTCTGTTAGACACATTTGTGAAGATCACTATTATAACTGAGAATAAGAAGTATTAATCTTTAGAAACAGATACATTCTACTTAAGACAATGTAATATATAACTGTTTAGAAGGTGATTGATAAATAATTTAGGACAAGACTTCTGTTCAAATGAAAAGTTCATCCACTGCTTTGGTTTCTCAATTATAGATCTTTGAACTCTGAGGCTTTTTCTAAGTAGGTTTTTCTGAGGTATTACTGTATTTCCACCCACCCCTTTATGTTCAACTTTGGTTGTGGGCTGAAAAATATGTCACTACATATGACTCTTAAGTCTATTTGTAGATATGTAGACACCTCAGTAAGTTAATCAATTATAAATTCTTTTTTTATGGGCAAGTTTTTGTGTGGACATGTGTTTCATTTTTCATATTTTAAAAGTTTATTTTATACATTCAATCTCTATACATCACTTAGCTTGTAACATGAATCTACCCAACATGAATGCACTTCACACCAGTCCAATTGAAGGTATTATACATGCTGTCATCAACAAATAATGATCCATTTCCATGATCCATAAATGTCTTGCCTCTCTACTTTTCTCTTTGATTACTTTCCTCACACTCTCCCCCTTCTCCTACCCTCTTCCTACAGTTTCCAGTACTGTTTCCTAGTATCATTTGATCAGGAAGTTCTTTCTCAGGTGGTATACCCTAAAAGTAAACTGTCTTCATGTGGGAATCAGAGGTCATAACTGTATAGTTAGGGAGAACCACTGGTACACTGAGATTTTGTACAGTTTATATAGATTGATTTATTCATAGCTTTGTTTCCAGAATTAAATCAATCATAAGTGTGTGTTTTAGCTGGGTTACAGTGAGCATTTATTTTTACAGCTGTGACTGACCTATAAGTTCACTTAAAGTATAACATGGAAAATGTTTAAATATGTTATATGACTGTTTTAAAAGTAATATTCAAGGCTTTCATCTTTGGGAAAAATATGTTTATCCAGTTGGTGTATTGATAACTATAATATATATATATATATATATACTTTTATTTCAAATAAGCTCTGTTAAAGAAGAGATTCAAGGTATCAATATTTTTCCTCACAGTATTTAGTTTGGATTTGACAGTGTGAAAGGTAGGATGCAATGGAGTGTGTAGATTGCATTATTGATTATATCAGTAATGTTAGTACTATTTCATTATAAAAGAAGTTGAGTAGAATAACTAAATTTTTAGTCTGAAAATACTAAATGTATTAGGCCTTGGAGAACAATTCTGTAGTTCTTCCAATTGGTCAAACTCAATGCATACTTTAAAATGTGTAATTGTATACAAATTCAAAGGTGTTGTGTTACTGCATGAATGAGGCAGACCATTTTATATACAATCAATGTTTTTTAACACTATAGATATTTTGAGTATAAAATGAGAATTTTATAATTTGTTTATATGCAGATATCTATACATATTTTTAGTTTGTTTGGAAGTAAATTAATTTCTTCATTATAGGTATGGATTCCTAAGTATTAGCTGTGCTGAAAGTAATAATCTTCTAAGTAAAATGCAAAATGTAAATTTAGGAAGTCTAGCTCAGTACTTTTCATATTGCTGATTTTCACAGACTGAGAAAGTTGAAAAAATTCACCACTCACCACTCTATCTCACAGTTAAGATAGTAACACACATAAAACACTACAGTGTAAAAGATAAATTTTAAACTATACGAGATGCTACCATCTCTTCCCAAAAGTCACAGGAAAGGTTTTAAAGAGGAGATTTTAGGCCATGAAGGTTGAGGTCTCTGTTAGACTGAAGAGGAAAAGAAAAATGGAAGTCATTCTAAATAGAACAAATAAAATGTGCAGTTTCAGACTGATGAGTAGATATAAAGCAAGGAAGAGGGAAAAAAATTGACCATAAATAGAACTGGAACAGTGAATGGCTATGTCTCAGGGCATCTAGTCTGCCAAATAATAATAAAGTTTGGATTTGTTTCTCTAGGCTATTAGGAGCCTAGACCAGAGCCATCATCATTTTTTATTTGCACTGTAGACTAGCACCTTGACTCCCTCCACTCTTGCCTTCCCTACTGTCAGTTCCTAGAAAAGCAGTTAGAGTAATTTTTGGACATGTACATCAATTTTTCCAGTTGTTAACTCGCTGCATAGCTTAAACTCTTGAAAGGAGTCTCATCAAACTCACAATGTATTAGACATTTCTTAATAAGACCCCATCTGATATAGTGGCTGTCTGTCTCATAGCTTTAGTAGTTATTCTGAATATTTACCCACCTCCTCACTGTCCTCCTGTCACAGGTCATGCTTTTATTTGGAGGTACCAACCCCTTTCCCAAGTAGGGATCATATTTTAGTATCTTTTGTCTCAGATCTTTAATGGCTCACTCCTTTGCTCAGAATTTACCTCTACAGAGAGGTTTTCTTACCTAATTCTCTGCCTATCACCATGCATCTCAATTTCTGCCTCTAAGTTTGTACATTTTATTTATTAAATATGTTATATTCCATGTTTAATTGAATATCATTTTTCTTCTCCTGAAGAGTATGAGTTCTACAAAGAACATTTTGCTTTGTTTGCTACTATTCCCAAGTGCCTAGAACAAAATAGGCTCTCAATACTTACTGAATAAATTTATTAAAGGGAGGATTATATAGAAATAACAGGCTAAAATACATATTAAAAGACTCTGGCAGTTTGGCCAGCAGATTGCATGGTGGTTAGGCCACTGGAACCCACATGGCTGACTCTGTGTTTTGAGTCTCAGACCCAGTGGCTTGGAAAACTTGCCCGGTAAGTTTAGCTGTGTGCCCCAAATCCCAAGAGGACAGTGGAGGAAAAGGGATTCAGGTGACCATCCCCACTAGGCAGTGATTTCTACTTTTTCTCTCTTTTTCTATCTGTCTCTCCATCTCTCTCCAGCAAGCTCATGTGCCCTCATGGCAAAAATTTTAAAAGAAGAAAAAGAAAAAAAATAGTGGCTTACATTGCTGTTGCCACAACCTGGGCCCATCTTAGCAAAGTTTTGTTGGTAACTTAAATTGATATCATTTTTGCTTAAAATGTCAGTTCTACTTTGATTTATTTTTATATAGACATTTGAAACATGGAACACAAGTTACAGGATTTTAGGCTATTGGCAAGTCCAACAATCTTAGATTTGTGAAAATAATGCTTTAGAGTAGACTAGTGACTTGATCATTGTTCATTAATAAACCAATACCCTGGCCAGATTTAGAGTGCCAAACTTCACACTCTACAGTTACCTTTTTTGTTAGTCTCTGCTGAAACTTATTGAACATTTTCTAATTATATTGTGTTAATTAAGTGCCATGTTTGGTATTTGTTCTTTTATCTTGTCATTTGCTTTACAGTCCTTAAAATTCCAGTTTAAATCTCTCAGTTGGACTTATTCATCTTTTAAATTTATTCTTTCTTGTTCTCACTAATTATTTCAATCATTCATTGCTCTTTGCTAGATACTGTGGTTAACCCTAAAGATACAAGGTAAAACAGAGAGGCAGAGTTCATGCTTGACCTCCTGTCACTGGGATCATTTTGTTCTTGCCCTCACATTATGTTAGTTTGCTAGGACTTTCACAACAAAGTACTAAAACTGGGTGGCTTAAGCAATAGAAGTGTATTGTTTCACAGTTCTAGAAGCCACAAAAATCAAGGTGTCAGTCAGCAGGTTTGGTTCGTTCCTTCCAAGGTCTTGCGGGAAGGATCTCTTCAGACCTCTCTTCTGACTTCAGCTACTCCTCTTGAATTGTAATTAACTGTTTTTTTCTTGCATTTCTTCACATTATGCGTGTCTCTCTCTGTTCTCAAATGTCCCCTTTTATAATGATACCAGTCAATTCTATTTATTAGGACCCACACTAATGTCCTTGTTTTCACTGGATTATCTCTGTAAAGACCTTATATCCAGCAGATGGTCTAGTGATTACTTTGCTGGACTCTCACGTGACTAACCTTGGCTTGAGTCCCAAACCC